GTGAGACAGGAGAGGTCTGCCGTGCCATGTGGGTAGCTCCCTGGAGATGTGTATCCTCAACCCTCACCCACCCCAGGGTGCCCACATCCCTGTGTCCTCCCCCAAAAGCCCCCTCCCCACTTTGCTCCAAACCCCCCCCCCTTCCCCTCCAACGGCCTCACTGCTGCAGTCATTTCTAGACTTTGTTTTGGTTTAATTTTGCTGGCTCCTATGTTATGTTATCCGTGTACTCCACCTAGGAGTGAAGTCACCTGATATTTGTCTTTCTCCTGGCTCATTTCCCTTAGCACCATCCCTTCCAGTTTCTTCCATGTTGTCACAAATGGCAGGAGTTCATCTATTTTTATAGCTACTTTTATTCCATCATGTATTTATACCACATCTTCTTACCCCACTCCTCTGTTGTTGGATACATAGGTTACTTTTGTAACTTGGCTATTGTAAATAGTGCTGCAGTGAGCATAGGAGTGCACAATCCCTTCTAAGTAGTGCTGTTTTCATTCTTTGGATAAAAGCAAAAGAGCAGAGTTAGTATATCATATGATGGATCTGTTTTTATTTATTTTTTTTAAAGATTTATCCATTTATGCATATAAGAGCTGGGGTGCAGGCCAGAGATGCAGGGAGTGCGAGGATTCACCAGAGACAGAGCAGGGAACACAACAGGCAGACTGACAGAAGTACACTGCTGAAGGGAGCAGCGGGCAAGTCAGGAGAGGTTTGCCTCACCATGTGGGTTTCTCCCTGGCTGCCCCGGAATCGGAATCGAACTCGTGTGGCAGAGGCTGCGGATTGCTTCGTAGTGCGGTGCCCAACCCCTTGTGCCATCAGGGAGGCCCTGGATCCGTTTTCAGTGTTCTGAAAAACCTCCATACAGTTTCCTAGAGGGGCTGGGCCAGTCTCCCTCCCCACTCTGTGAGTAAGAACTTCTTTTTCTCCACATTCTCACCAACCTTTGCTGTTTCTCATCTTTTTGACATGGCCCATTCTCACTGGAGTGAGGTATTACCTCATTGTGGTTTTTGGTTTGTATTTCTCTGATAATAAATGATGATGAGCATTTTTTCATGTGCCCATAGGCCATGTCTGTCTTCTTTGGAGAGTGTCTTTTCAGCTCCACTGCCCATGTTGGATTGGGTTCTCTGTTCTCGTCTCACTGAGTCGTGTCCGCGCATTGTGGATCTTGGCCATGGGGCCCTTGTCGGATAGATAAGTGCAGATGTACTCTTCCCTGCAGTAGGGTGTACTTTTGTTTTGATAGTTATTTCGCTGTGCAGAAGTTTGATGTCTTCCCATCTGTTTATTTTTGCTTTTATTTTCCTTGCGGTTGCAGTTGAGTCCCCAAAGACATCCCTGAAGCCAGTGTCGTGGCATGTTCTATCTCTGTTTTCTTCCATATAATTAAGAGATTCTGGCCTTATATCCACGTCATCAGTACTTTCAAGTTAATTTTTGTGTATGGTGTGAAAGAGAGTGGTCTAGTTTCTTTTTCTGCATGTGACACACAAAATGAATGCGCCAAGCTCAGGTGAGGGAAATAAACTTAGTACAAAAGAGAAGTTCACCTGGCTGTTTCAGTTTTATGTTGGACACAGGGCCGACAGGGCTGAGGACTGTAAGCAGCCCAGTGATCCTTCTGGAAATCCCTGCAGGAAGAGAGGTTGTCCTGGGCCCTGGCTGACCACGCTCCCCTACAGTTGCAGACACTTCTGCTGGGGAGAGCACGCGCAGAGCTGAGCCAGATTAATAACCTCTGAGACATGGTTCTTTCTCCCCAACAGGCAGCCTCCAGCGTATATTTTTTTTAAGATTTATTATATATGCATACAAGAGCTGGGGTCCAGGCCAGAGGTGTGGGGGTGAGAGGATTCACCAGAGACAGAGTGGGGAACAGAACAGGCAGACTGACTGAATATACTGCTGAGGGGAGCAGGGGGCGAGTCAGGAGAGGTCTGCTGCGCCATGTGGGTTGCTCCCTGGCCGTCCAGGGATAGAACTCATGCTGCAGAGGCTGCAGATGGCTTTATAGTGTGGTGCTTAACCCCTTGTGCCACCAGGGAGGCCCCCAACGTATATTATTTATGTTTCAAAATAAGAACGTGCTTTGGGGGCTGTTCTGATGAAGGGGTTTTGCTTCCTGTTTTACTGTGACTAATGAAACAGTCATACGAGAGCTTGCACAGGGGTCCACTACCAGGCCCCTCCACTTACCCCTGTGTCCAGACTATTTAGTTCTGCCTTCTGTTATTTTTATTACAAAAACTGTCTATTGTCCTAAGAAAGCCAGCCCTCCTCACTCTCCACTTGAAATGCCACCCCTCCTGCCCAGGACATCACCCAGCAATGCTCCTCTTTCTCTCCAGCAGCCCCATTGCTTCTCCTCTAGCTCTTTCTAGGGACCAGTGGCATCTTTCTAGCCAACACCCTCTGGGCCCTCGTTTCCCCTCCAGGTATTTTCCTCCTTCCTTCTCTGGTAGAAGTCTGCAAAGCAGCTTTCTGTACTCCGCCGCCAATGTTTTTTCTTCCTTTTGAACCCTGTCCCGTCAGCCTTTCACCCTGTCCCTGAGCAACTCTCTGCCAAGTTCACTCTGACCTGACTCGGTGCCACCACGGCTGGCTGCTCCTCGGTCCCTTCTCAGTCCTCAGCCAAGAACAAAGCCCTCCTTTCTTTGTGCCACTTTCCTTAGGTTGGGGTACCACACGCTCTTGCTTCCCAACTGGTCCTTTTCTTGGCTGGTTCTCTCGCTTCTTGACCTCATTGTGTCGGCGTCCTCCAGGGCACTTCTTGCTCCTGTCTATCCTCACTCCCTTCAGGATCTCATGAAGTGTTTAGGTTTTAATACAGTTGACTAACAGGTCAGTGTCAAATATACGTTTCCTGGCGGGACCTCTCCCCTAAACCCCAGACACCATATTCTGCACCCACTCAGGGTCATCTGCAAATCCTGTTGGTTTTACCTTGAAAATAGGCAGCCACTTCTCTGCGCCCCTGTACTGGGTCTGAGCCATCACCATGTTTCTCCTAGGTTTTTGCCACAGCTGCCCAACCAGAGTTCCTGACCCGGCCAGGCCTTCCCTTCACTCCATTCTCAACACTGTGCCCAGGCGGGCCTGAGAGAGCTGAAGTCTGTGGCATCATCCCTCTGCTTCCTACTCTCCAGGCTCCTGCGCCCAAGTCTCTCTGTACCCCAGCCCCTGTTCCTCAGACATCTGTGTGCTTGCTGGTCTCTGTCCAGGATGCCCTTCCTCCAGAGACCTCTTCAGATGGCTTCCGCCCCTCATGATAGCTTCAGTCTAATGTTTTCCCTTAGTCCCTGACAGGCTTAACAGTCCCTGCACACAAACAAAATTTCCCCTCCATAGTCCTTATTAACCTTTTCTACTTTATTTAATTCCATAATCCTCATCGCCTTCTTATAGACTATATATGTGTATTATAGACTGTATGTGTGTATATTTTTATACCATTATCTACTATATTATATAATATTTAATATACATGTTTCCTTTTTCATTGTCTTCCTCTCCCTGGCAAGAATTCAAGCTACGTGAGGGCAAGGGTATTTTTCTGCTCTGTTCACTGTTGAACTTCAGCTCCTGGAACTGTGTAGATGATTAGTAAATATTTATTCTATGGATTAATTCAGATGATGCCTGTTGAGTACCATTTATTGAGAAAGAAGTTTTTCTTTAGGGAAAATAGGTTACTTCTTTGGGACTTTGCATTTCTCCATCCAGCTTCAACATATGTTCAAATTATAAATCCTCATCTGTGGAACAGATGAGATGGAATACAGTCTAGTGAGAGCACAAACTGAATTTTAGAATTCAGGAAAGACACAGAAGAACAGGGTTCTATAAGTAATCTGGATAGTAAAAAATAAAGGGCAAGCAAAAGATTTCTCAAGAATGCCATGTGGGGCCTCCCCGGTGGCGCAGCAGTTGAGCGCTGGGTTACAAAGCTGCCCGCAGCCTCTGCAGCGCCAGTTTGATCCCCGGCCACTGGGCGAGGGTCCCACATGGCGCGCAGACCTCTCCTGCCGCCCGCTGCTCCCCTCAGCAGTGTACTTCGTCAGTCTGCCTGTTCTGCTCCCCACTCTGGCTCTGGTGAATTCTCTCACCCTCCCGCGCTTCTGACTGTACCCAGTGCTTGTATAAACAAACAAACAAACAAACAAACAAATAAATAAATCTTTAAAAAAAAAAAAGAATGCCATGTGACGAATAAATGGCACAACAGAGAGCTGCCCCTAAGCAAGCCTGTCAGAACGTCTTCAGTTACCATGCAGCAGTTTGATTCTCGAGATTTTGCTAGAAATGGAATCAAATTGTGTCCCTTTTTTTTGGTTTGACTTCCTTCACGCAACATGATTATTTTCAGTTTCATCCATGTCATTGCTTTTACTGATAGCCTCTTCCAATGTATTGCTGAGTAGTATTCCATGATACGGATAATCACAGTGCTTTTCTCCATTCACCTCTTGATTGACATTTCTCTCTTCCTCCTTATTTCCTGTAAACTGGCAATTATATCAAAAGACTTGATTACAAGGCAGGCTGAGCAGTTTTGGCAAGGCTCCTTCATCCATTATGCTGTTCATTTCGAATTACTTGAGGAAGAACTTGACGTCTGGTTAGGATCAGGAAGACCCAGCCTTGAGATTTGACTGATCTTTTAGAGTTGTGAATCTATCTTTGCTTTTTTTTTGTTATATTCACTGAATTTACTGTTTTAGTATGCATCGGTTTTCATTTTCTTGGTGGTTTTTCCAAAAGTCCATAAACCCAAAAATATACCTTTTTACAAATTCTTTTAGTTGTATTGTCTTTTGTTCCTTTTTGTGTTCTGTGATTTTTGGACAAGCCTGATTTGGTTTGGAGTAAGATTTATTTCACTCTTTGCTGTTTCTGATTTTTCCTAAGGGGCTTGGGCCCATGATTTATCTACAATTCTTCCTTTCCTTTTTATCTAATTCTGTTCTCTCTTCTTTGGTAGTTTTGATCCCTAGATGCCTACGCTCTCTGGCATCCCCGCTAGCGGTGTTCTCTGCAAGAATAGAGGAAGCAGCACCAAAGGTAAACCCAACACCTTTCTTCCTTGAAATTGTCTCGCTAAAGAAACTGTCCCAGGGGAACTAAGGACACCCTTCACTGCGTGGTTGATTTACCTCTTGGCATAGTCTGCCCTGGAACAGCTCAGAGACTGGCGGCTTGTCCACAGGCTGCATTTTGAGTCCCATGTCCTGAATCGCAAGTATCTTGTTCTGCTTCTTTGTACGTATTTAATAACAATCATAGCCGCTAACATTTATGTAAGTGTCGCTCTAAGCCATTCTCCTCTTCACAGATACTGTCAAGTATCACCATTTTGGGACATGACAGAATCAAAATACAGAGATATTGAGTAAGTTGCACAGAAATCTCCCCATTTGTTTATAGCAGGCTGAGGCTTACGTTCAGGCATTCTGATTCCAGACCACATAGTCGTCATAAAAATGGAATTTTTTATGTGACTTTTGTAAGCTATGAATCTTCTTCATGGCCTTTCATATTTCCTGTAATCTTTCACACACTTGCCAAGTGTGCATGCCTGGCTAGTCTTTTCATCTACTTAACATGGGGGATTCTACAGGAACCCTCTTTTGCCTAATTACAAAGGGTATCATTTTTTTAAAGATTTATTTATTTATTTATACAAGCACTGGGTACAGTCAGAAGCGCAAGAGGGTGAGAGAATTCACCAGAGCCAGAGCGGGGCGCAGAACAGGCAGAAGGACCAAAGTACACTGCTGAGGAGAGCAGCGGGCACGCAAGAGAGGTCTGCGCGCCATGCAGGACCCTCGCTGGCAGCCGGGGATCGAACCAGCTCTGCAGAGGCTGCGGGCTGTGGGCAGCTTCGCAGCCCAGCACTCAACCACTGCGCCACCAGGGGAGGCCCACAAAGGGTATCATTTAATAAGGTTGAAAACTAAACCCCCACCTCTGGCCCAGCAGGAAGGTTTGGGAGGCTTGAAAAGACAAAAGAGAATTGATAAGGTGGATATGGAAACCAGGCCAAAAGGCTGAGCTCTTTGGCCATGAATGCAGAAGCAGGGCCAGGACACATTCTGTGTCAAAGGTCTATGCCCAAGACCAGACATCTCAGCACTAACTGGCCCAAACTGACTCCCCAGTCATGAAAAGCCCATGAAAACAGGTTATTAATGGGATCCCCAAATCCTTCTTTGCGCAGACTTCTCCGATCTTGCCTGCTGCTTCTCTTAGCAGTGTATTTCAGTAACTCTGCCTGTTCTGCTCTCCACTCTATCTCTGGTGAAATCTTTTACACCCCGTTCTCTGGCCTGCACCCTGATTCTTCCCCACAACACTTAATTCTGGACTGTCCTAACTTCCTTTCTCATACCTGTTGTTTTCCCCTTCCTAAATTCAGTTTGAAGACTTCGTTTGAATGCGTTATGTTTTCCGCTTTTCTGTGGTCTTTGGGGATGTGATCAGCTCAGCTGGACTGTGGTCAATAGTAATTGGCAGCTCTGGTCTTAAATCTTTCCTGAGCGAAAGACAGAGGTGAGAGGGCTGTTGTATCACGTTAAAAGCAAAAAAAAAAAAAAAAAGTTTCAGCCTTCCAGGGAACTATTTTTTCACTCTGGTTTTTCGGACTTTTTAAATAAAATAATGACTGTAACGTAGAACACTTTTTTGTTGATTTTACTGGAGAAAATCACATATCTTTGTCTCCAGATTTCTCTTCCAAGCCAAAATACAGAATTTCCCATAAAAGCCTAAGTGATTTCTTTAGTGGTTCCAGGATTGGCTGGGAAAGGCATTCCTTATTTGCACAACCATTATTACAATTTCTCCACCAGCAGCCCCACTGCGATGCAAATGCCTGACCCCAGACAAAGGGGAAAGCTCTGAACTGGTGAATCCTGGGCTTTGTCTTCTTTGCCATCTTCCGTCTTCTCTTGACCCCACCCAGTGGAGCTGCTGCTGGCCATCTTCAGCCCACTTGCATTGTTCCCTATTTGTGTCTGATGCAACGGTAACTCTTGTATTTAATATTTGAATTCTGTTTCCTTATGCTTCCCTGCTTCTAGACGTCACAATAATTTAATAACTGAGGAAAGGATGGAGTGATATGGCACCCCCAAATACCAAAATAATCCATCTTCATCTCGAGGTGTAGAATACTAATAGAATGCCACTGGAAATTTCCAGAGGCTCCCGCTTCTGTTTAACTTACCCTTGACTACCAGTGGTTTCCCTCGTGAAGCTCTGCAAGACAAATGATTTCATTTCCCAGGGACGTGTCTGGCATTTCTTCCTCAGGACCTTCATATTATCATCTTTTTGAGCTTTTCTCATTGAATAAGAGTTTCCATTGTAATACTTTGATTAAATTCATAATATTCTGCTTTGTTATATCTCCTTTTAGAATGAAAAGAAATGCTGAGAAATAAATAAAGCTTTCCTCTCCTGACTCGGATGTTGATAATGGGTATTGGGAAGTCCAAGGTAGATCCCTGCCCTCTCTCTCTCTCCTGGGGTAAAGGCCACAGTGTGGATACAAGCGAAAAAAATCATGGGTCAGATTCCAAGACACCTAAAGAAATCTCCTTGGGTGACACTTCTAAGCTTAACAGCACAACAGCAGAGCCCCCGGGAGACAAGGAGGGACGTGGGGAAGTGGAAGACACGCCTGGAGAGGAGGCAGAGGAAGAGGTGTTCCTCAAATTTGTGATCCTGCACGCCGAGGAGGACACCAGAGAAGCCCTCCGAGTCCAGAATCTGCTGCAAAACGACTTTGGCGTCAGGCCTGGAATAATCTTTGCCGAGATGCCGTGTGGCAGACAGCTGTTGCAGAATTTAGATGATGCAGTGAATGGGTCTGCATGGACAATTTTATTACTGACTGAAAATTTTTTACGGGACACCTGGTGTAAGTTCCAGTTCTACACGTCCCTCATGAACTCCGTCAACAGGCAGCACAAATACAACTCTGTCATCCCCATGCGGCCACGCAACAACCCCCTGTCCCGAGAAAGGACTCCCCTCGCCCTGAGAACCATCAATGCCCTTGAAGAAGAGAGTCGAGGCTTTCGTACCCAAGTAGAAAGAATCTTTCAGGAGTCTGTGTATAGGACACAACGAAGTATATGGAAAGAGACCAGAAGTAGGGCGCAGAGGCATGCTCTGCCTGAGAAGGGACACAGCTCCGGTCTTTGTGAAACAAAGGCTTTCACTTGAGAAAGCCATTTCTAGGAAGCATTTCAATGAAAGAGAATCTCACTGCTACAGAATCCTAAGGAGCACAAGAAAGATACATTTCTACAGGACAGACTCTACAACGATAGTGCTTCTTGATGTTTCTATAGCTTGAGATGGTCAATTTCAGTTTTTCTCTGATTTCCTGTTTCATGATTATGACACGTTCCTCAGTTCATATTCCTTGTCTCATCTTGAGCAAAAACTTGTATGATAGACATTTTAAAAACAGGTTACTTTCGGGCCTCCCCGGTGGCGCAGCGGTTGAGCGCTGGGCTGCGAAGCTGCCCGCAGGCTCTGCAGTGCCGGTTCGATCCCCGGCTGCTGGTGAGGGCCCCACATGGCGCGCAGACCTCTCCTGCCGCCCGCTGCTCCCCTCAGCAGTGTATTTCGTCAGTCTACCTGTTCTGCTCCCTGCTCTGGCTCTGATGAATTCTCTCACCCTCCTGTGCATCTGACTGTACCCAGTGCTTGTATAAATAAATCTTAAAAAAAAAAATAGGTTATGTTCATTTTCATTTTCTGAATTTTGTTGTTAAAGGACATGCAGAAGAAAATGGTCCCAAGGCAACTCCCCTCCCTCCCTCTTGAGGCACCTCACATGAATATTGCAATAAAGCATCCCCAGTATTGGGCCTCCCTGGTGGCGCAGCGGTTGAGCGCTGGGTTGCGAAGCTGCCCGAAGCCTCTGCAGCGCTGGTTCGATCCCTGGCTGCTCCCCGGCCACCGGAGAAGGGTCCCACATGGCGCGCAGACCTCTTCTGTCGCCCGCTGCTCCCCTCAGCAGTGTACCTTTCGGTCCTTCTGCCTGCCCTGCTCCCCTCTCTGGCTCTGGTGAATTCTCTCACCCTCCCGCACTTCTGACTGTACCTGGTGCTTGTATGTGGGTTCCCAGAGTAGAATATTAGCATACTGAGGGCCGATGTATGTGATGGAGTCAGAAGTAGGGGTGATAAGGGTGGGCCACTTAAAGCATCCAGGTAAATGCGTTTTCTTTTCTGCTGGGATCTGCGGATTTAAGGCAGTTTCCTCCTCTGCTCAGCAGCCCATTTGACAAGGTGATGTGGAGGGACTCCAGGGTAGTGTTGCAACATCCCCTGGGTGGAAGCTGGCATGTGTGAGTCATCTGCACCCAGGACTCCATCTGCAGAGCTGCTGAAAGGTGTAGGAGTGTGTGCCCCCAGCCTGACATTCTTGGAAATCCACAGCCTCTCAAACGGCAGCCTTTGACTTTTTCGACTTAGAACAGAAGGAGGAGATGTATGTTGTCACCTCTGCTCGGTGCCAGTCAGTGACCTGTTCCTTTCCTTGACAGCTCTTCTGCCCCATCCGTGACGAGGGGTGGGGGGACCACCAAGTGCAGATGGGAGCCGGGGTGGAGTGTGACTGACTTCATGTTGTCCTGAGGAAGGCACCCGGGGGGCGCGTCAGGAGCTGATCCTCATCCAGTCTCTGCCACCAAGGACGAATGCCGCCATGGGCTCGCTGCTGACCCGCCTTTATCTGTGAAATGAAAGGCTTGGATTGATGGATCTGTGAAGGCCTTTGTCCTCTCCCAGAATGTGAATAGCTAGAGACCAGAAAAGGGAACAAACAAAAAATTAGAATTTCATAATGGGATTTGTAAATTAATAGATGCAGGAGGTTGTCTCTATGCTTCCAATGAGAGGATGTAAGCTGTACGTCACTTAAGTGACTTCCCATGCTGCCCATGACACTTTCATAGTTACAGAGATTTTTAATATATGTGTACTCATTCCTTTAAAATACGTTTTGTCTTAGGGACACTTGACCAAAGATATTCTTCTTGATTTTTCTTTCTCCTTATTCTTGCTTTTCTCTAACCCTACTAGTTCTGGGGTCTGCTAACATTCTTTCTGCAGTTCCCCTTTTTCATAGGTGTGAACCAAAATGTTCCATGAGGAACAATCTCCCACAATCCTACAGGTCAGTCATACCTACTCTCCGGGTGCTTATTAAAGAGTAAATTGTTTTCACTGCAGGTTAATAATGATTGATTTTTTTTGGGGGGGGGTCATGCTGCTGCTTCTTTTTTTTTTTTTAATTATTTATTTATTTATACAAGCACTGGGTACAGTCAGAAGCGCGGGAGGGTGAGAGGATTCACCAGAGCCAGAGCGGGGAGCAGAGCCGGCAGAAGGACTGAGGTACACTGCTGAGGGGTGCAGTGGGCGGCAGGAGAGGTCTGCGCGCCATGTGGGACCCTCATCCAGCGGCCAGGGATCAAACCAGCGCTGCAGAGGTTTTGCAACCCAGCGCTCAACCACTGCGCCACCGGGGAGGCACCGCATACTGCTTCTTCTATCTAAACTTTCACATATGAATAAAGCTTTACCCACCCACCCTTCATGCCTGCCAAAACTGGAGCAGTTTATTTGTGAAATAAATGTTTTTATTCTTTTTCTTTAACTAGACTTGATTCCTTGTAACTCCAATGAAGATTATGAAAATGCGTTTTGAAAAGAGGCATTGATCTGTACCCCCTCCCCCATAGACCCACAGGCACAGTGTCTCACACAATTTAGAGTTCAGTATTTTTTCCTGTGGTCAAAAATGTTAAATATGGGCCTCCCTGTTGGCCCAGGGGTTAAAGTCTCAGCACTATCAAGCTATCACCAGCCGCTGTGATAAGAGTTCGCTCTCCGGCCCAGGAGCTGACCCACATGACGCAGCAGATGTCTCCTGTCTTGCCAGCTGCTCCCCTCAGCAGTGAATTTCAGTAGATTTGCCTATTCTGCTCCCCACTCTGTCTCTGGTGAATCCTCTCACCCTCTCAACACCTCTGGCCTGCACCCCAGTTCTTGTATGCATAAATAAAAAAAGTATATACTTGAATAACCACTTATTTCCATTATCAAAATAAACAGGATGAAAAGAGAAAAAGATGTGGGCTGAGTCAGTGTGTACACATGTAGTCAGATACATTGATTTGGATTTACACCCATAAACACCCCAGGGAAATTCTGGAAAATTTCGCCACATGCTGGTGAGCCATTCTTTCCGATACTCTGTTGTTCTTTTGCCTTCCCTAGAGCTTCATAGAAGAATCTGGCTGTGTCTACCTGTCAGGATTCTTTTCAGCTGTTGGGAACAGAAAACCAAGGCCACATGATTTACACCATAAGAGAAACTTACTACCAACCTTAACTAGAGGTCCCCCGGGTGTGGTGTCTCCAAGGTATTATTAAAAACCTTGGTTCTGACATAGCATTATGCTTTAAAAGCATTATGCTTTAAAAAGGAGTGAAACTCTGACACATTCTACAACATCCATGAACCCTGAGACCTTTATGCTAGGTGAAAAAATTCAGACACAAAAAGACAAATACTGTATGAGTCCATAAAAATGGTCAATTTTATGTATGCTTTACCACCAGAATAAAAAGAAAGAAAGTGAGGCACTCAACCACCTGCACCACTGGGGAGGCCCGGAGGGAAGAGATTTTAAACAAAATCTTTTTGTTCTGCCTTTCTCACTGATGTCGTTGAGTTCCTCTCAGACTTCTACATGGCTGCTTGGGCGTCAGGCCCCATATACAGACCGCAGGTCCTGCCTCAGAGGATGATAGGTGGTGTCCACCTCAGTGAGGAAAAATGTTTCATCACTGCAATATGAAAATTGATTATACCTAGTGATAATAGAACACCACCTGACCTTCAGTTGGTTTTATTATTTCTAATAGATTTTTACATATTTTTCTAATACTACCATTACAAATAATAATAAAATCAATTGAAGGGGATGGGGGAGGGTTCTCTTCCTCATGCCCTCATGTGCCCCTGCTGTAGGATCAGACCACCTGGATTTGAATACTGCACCTGTCCTGTAAGCGAGACTCCTAAACTTTCTGGGCCTTGGCGTCCTTGTCCAAAAATAAAGTTGTGTTCCTAGTAGGTTTTTTGAGGATTATATGAAATAACATGTATGAGGCTATCTCTATGCTACCAGAGCTGCTATTGTAACACAGGATGGGGAAAGGCAAATAGGAGTTTTTAACTCCCCACAACCCTATTCGTGAAAGCAAGCAACTTTTTACTTATTTATTTATACAAGAACTGGGGTACAGGCCAGATGCGCAGGAGGGTGAGCGGATTCACCCGAGACACAGCGGGGAACAGAACAGGCAGATTGACAAAACACACTGCTGAGGGGAGCAGCGGGCGAGACAGGAGAGGTCTGCCTCGCCATGTGGGTATCTCCCTGGCCAGCCGGGATTGAGCCTGCGCTGCAGAGGCTGCGGACAGCTTCAAAGTGAGGCACTCAACCACCTGTGCCACTGGGGAGGCCCGGAGGGAATAGATTTTAAACAAAGATACTGGGACTTGTTTCCACCTGCAGTGCAGTGAAAAAATTGAGGGGAGCCCCCGGATCAGCAAGAGATGCTGTTGGTGTGGGTATGTGGGGAGCCATTGACAGGGAGGTCGCAAGGGCATGTCCTGGTGGTGACGTAACAAGTTGGGGAAGTTGGCCTGAGCTTAGAAAAGCAGGAAGTCGGGGCTGGGAGGCTGGGAGTGCTGGCTCTGAAGTCAGCGCAGGGCAATGGCCTAGGTGCAGGCCTCACTGTGTGTTCCTGCCCTTCCCACTCAGCAGCCGTGGATCAATCTGTATTCATTTGGATGTGAGGGGTGGAACCCTTTTAATTCAGCCTCTTTTAGAGCTTCCAGAGCTCAGCAATTCCAGAGCTCAGCTATGCCCAGATTTTGCCCCTTTGCCAATACAAGCTGGTGAAGCTCAGACCTGTCCCCGTGGGGTGGGCAGAGTGGGAGGTGAGAGAAGCAACATCTGCCTTGCTCCTTCCTGAACTGACCAACCTGATAGTCAAGGTTGTTTACTGGGCTGTGTCACCTTCGGGACAAGTCAGGGCTCTTTCCCACTTCAGCACCATGCCCTTCACCTCTGCCGTCCTAGGTGTTAGGTGGGCCTGGAGTGGGCCCCAAACCTCAGGCCTCAATGCATAGGGAACAACACAGAAACTACTTCTGGAAACAACTTCCTTGGGTGTTCTCATCCACAGAAGCTCACCCCTGAACCCCTGATTGATCCACGGCTACTGTGGCTTGTGGTGGGAATTGTTCCAAAGTCTGAAAAAGCCCAGTCACACCAGATCCAAGTGGTAAATACTAGTTGCACAAATAGACAAGGTTTTTGCCAAGCCATCTTCCTGTTCAGCAGAGGACCCTTCCAGAAAGAGGCTGAAATTATTTTCACAGACTCACTGTAATTCAGAAGAGTA